GGAACGGCCACCCCAATGCACTTTGCACCCCGAAGTAGTCTCATTTCCACGCCGGGACCTTGTTGGAAAGTTCGTGTAAAAGCTTAAAACCTGGGCGAGGAGACAGGTAATACGCCCGCCTACGCCCGGGAAGGAAACCCGCTTGCTTCTTAAGCATTAAAATGGAGGAGAAGATCTCTAGGTCTAAAGGCAAGACCTGTTCGCAAAATAGGGAGATTGTCCCCACCAAATTACGAATAGAGTTCGGGTGAAGCTGGTCGACTGTAACACTAAAGTGGTTCATTACCTCGACAATGAGGGGGTGGAAAGGAAGGCGCAACTCGGCAACGAGCTGCTCCCGGAATATCACGATCTCATCAGGACCGTGTTCCCAAGGGAAACTACCCGAGGGTATGAAGTAGGTGTACTCCCTATGCAAGTTGAACTGGATAATAAGGGAATGAAGCCCCTCAAGCGTCATGGTCGAAGGCCCAAACTTGTCCAACGTCCAACCTTGACGAGAGGAGGACGCCAAACTACCCGAGGCGACTCGGCCTACGGGTTCGAACTCTTCCTCGAGTTCTACCTCAGGTTCACTAGGACTGTCAGGGGATGCAATTCGGTTCGTAGAACCTGCATCCGACCCCCTTGAAGAACTGTCTAAGCTATCCGATCTAGACATTGGAAGGAGAATAAGGATTACAGGAAAGTACTCACCCAGAAAAAAGCAAACGGACTACGGGAACGTGAACGCGAGCTAGAGGCTTGGACGCGAGCTCAAGAAGCAAAACGCAGGATAACGACAGCGACTGGGGTCCCCCACTATTTATACCAGTAACCAAGAATCAACGGCTCAGATCAAAGACAATCCAACGGCCCGCAGTCGCGCTGACCGCACGTCTCCTGAGACCGAGACGTGATTGGCCACACATCTTTCTAAAACTGAAAGAACGCTAGCGCATGTCTCCTCGCATTAAAGGCGGCAGCGACACGTTTTTTTTTTCAAATTTGAAAAGACGCCCGCTGTCACGTCTTCCAGCGGCGCGCTTTTTGAATTTTGAAATAAGCGCGCGCCGTCACATCTGTCAGCATTTATAGACAGATTGGCACGTTTCCCATCTTTTTGGTGCTCAAGAAACCCGGAAAAATCCTGACGAACGCGCACTTCGCGCTACCAGTCATAACCAGTTCGAAGTACGGGACAAATCCACCCGCCACCTCGCGAACTCCTCATGCCAGGGCAAGTCCCTTAGCACGAGGAGTGGGGGGCAATTGATGAAGGAAGATTTGGCCCGACCTCGTAATCACTCAACATGTGGCAAAGGCAACAGCGCGCCCAAGGCGCGAGCTCCGAAAGGAGGAACCAGCGGCCCGAACTACCTACAAGGAGCTCGAACTCCCCGTAAGGAGCCCGAGCTCTCCCTTAGACCCCGAGCCTTACGAACACAAAGGGCAACAACCCGAACTGGCCTGCCCCATGGCAGTTCGGGACACACCTCTAGCCGAACTCAAGACCACCTCGCTCACCACTCCAGCACTTCGCCTCCAGGACGACGAACAGAACAACCGTACCGTGCCTGACACCGAAGGAGTCCGTATCTAGGGGCGGCGCACCTGACTGACTTGGGATCTGACGCTTAACAGTCGCACTTCAACGGCCACCTGCCACCGCCATCTCCAGTTACAGAGACGGCTCCAACAAAGAGAGCAGTGGCGGTTCTGCCCCAGCAGAGGTGATGACACCCAAACTGGCAGGAGCGCAAAGATAATCATACCCGACCTGACAGAAGCTTAGAAGTGAGTGCGCGAAGTGGTTATAAAAGGCCCCCTACCCCCCAAGAACAAGGTATGTGAACTTTGCGCCATCTGGTTTTATCTTGCCTTTGAGAGAATACTACCTTGAGCTTCGAAGCAATCTCATCGGGTTCCTCCCCGGAAATTCCCCACTTTCTTCTCCATTTCAGGCCCCCTGTTGCTCCAATCAGAGGCAAGGTCGTTGACAACTAGGACCGGCCGGATTGCGCATCATCATCTCCCGTGAATAATAATTCATAAGTACGGGAGATGTTCCCAATGCATGATAAGATGTGCGTGTGAGGAGCGAGTTAGGTGCCATGTGTGAGGAGCAGATCCGATCTCAGTAATTACTGGCAAAACCCTAAGGATTTGGGCCTGATGCAATGTAAATTCTTCAATTTGGATGTCCAATTTACATCTGCTGTCCAGGTGATTGATTTGACCAGCTATATAAATAGGGTTAATAATACTACTCTATATGTCAGGTTTAAGAGCCCTACATCAACTCTTTTTTTTCCTCCAAATACTTCTTTATCTAGCAGATGGAATATTAGAGGGATGTTTGGTTGGAGAATTGATATGCCGATTCAGATTTTTAAATGTCACAGTTGGCTCATCAAATCATGTGAAGCATTCTCATTTGGTAAGAATCAATAGAGAAAGCTTCAGGAATTAGGGATTTTGAATTGAATTTTGATATTTCTATGCCCTGTCAAGATTAGTTCAACCAAACACATTTTCTTGAAAAGATTAGCGGGTGAGTGGTAAAACGGTAAAACTTAAAAGGAGAGAGAGAGACAGAAATGAATCACACAACCAACCACTGTGAAATGTGTGGATCCTATGTATTTTATTACTGGTGTGGAATATTATCATTAGTTTCACAGCCTGCTGAACATCTATTGCATTCAGCTAATCTAAATTCATTCAATAGGTGGTAAAATGAAAAAAGATAGGTTGAGAGGTTGAATGGTTTATTCACATGGATAAAAGACCATCTACAGCAACTGTCTTTTACAAATTGAAGAAGCGAGATGAATTAGGGGCAGAATGGAATGGTTAAACAAGATTCATTAGCCAACCCACATAGTTGGGACTTGGGACAGGGCTTAGATGAAGATGATTAGTAATTCCTCAAACCCATCAAAATCACTTAGTATTGATTAAATCATTTTGATAGAAATAAAAATTTTTCCCAATTCACAGGATTATAATCCTAGTTCAATGCATACCATTAATCCATAAGATACCTCTTTCTAAGGAAACCACTGTGGAGCTTCTCTTTCCTTGTCTTCTGTAAGCTCTATATCAAAAGCTATTGTTGCATAGGGCTGTCAGAGGGTTGATTCTATCCGATATAACTGAATCGACCAAACTGATTATGTCGGTTCTGGTTTTATGATTTTGCTCCGATTGGTCAGGATTGCTTCCTGCTGTTCCGAATTGATCATATAGTGAATAATATATAAAGGCCTCCTGGTTCTTGTATTAATTTTTGTTATATTTTTGGAATCCAAAAGGATAAATTTAAGATAATATTGATTAGAAATACTTCGTTATATTATCAAAAATAAAGCTTTAAGCTGTTATTATCATAGGTAATTATTATAGATCTCTAGCATAATTGGGTCTAACTGGATCAGGACTAATCGCCGTGATTAATAATCGGGATAGTTTTGGATCTATCATATAAAACTGATTAATAATTGGCTCAGGACTACAAGACCCAACTCATTGACAGCTCTATGTCTGCAATAGGAAATAAGCCCAGGCACATTTTGTAAAAAGGGAAAAGGGTAAAGAATAGTCTCTTTTTATTTGATAAGGTAGTATGTAAGGACCTGTGAGTTGGGCTGCCTAATTTGAAGAATTTAAACTTTGTTGCACTTGGATTGGGGTACTGGCAAATTCATATTGGCGCCCCATAACGCATCCCAATTGTGTATTGAGAACATCTCCCAATGACTAGTATAGGAAATGTTCCCAATTCACGCTGAGATGTGCATGTGGGGCGCCTGTGGGGTGTCAATGTGAACTAAGTGTGGGCCTATTGAAAATTTAACTAATTCCCAACCCAAATGACTATCTTTTCTTAAAGCCATAATATAGGGATTTTTACCATTCAGTCCATCTCTGAAATCCTAGCTCCACCGTACAGTTGGGGGTAAGTGTCAGATCGGAATTGATGCCAATTCATAAGCGGGTGCAGGCTAAAAATCTCTAAAATATATAGAATTGTCTTTCTTTTTTTTTTGTCTTCTGGGCCTATTCTTAACACTAGGCCTATAATCGGATCAAATTCAGATCGAATCCAGCTACATCTATATCCATCTTATTAAAGTTAAAATTACCAAAAATTAAAAAAAAAAATCAAGAAAAAATAATTCCTTTTAATTTATACATGTAATATATATAATATAATCGGATATAGAGCTTTTAATTCGAAACCCGTTGACGGCCCTAGCTTAGCACTTATTGATTGTTCCTGAAGCCTGCAAACTGGAGAATGCATCAATTACTCGGATAACAAACTCTGGATCCTAATTCAAGGTTGTCAGATTCGAACCGGATTCAGAGTTAGGTCATTTAACCCGTAAGGCCGTAAGACTGTCAACCAACCAGGACCCGAAAAGCTCACCGGGTCACTGACCGGCTGGCTATGTCTTCCTCTTTGTTAACATGGTTGTGCAATCATGCATCAACTAGTCGGACCTGGACAGGTCCACATGTACCCGGACCAGGACCCTATTAAAAACACCAGGTACGGGTTGGGTCCGCTTTACAGAACTTGCTTTCATGTACCTGGTGTTGGTGGGCACAGGAATCTTGGGCCTGAATACTACTGGGCCCTGAATTGGACCAGGCCAATCCAAGGCCCAAAGCTACAGTTGTAGTCCATCACGATCCAGCACGACTGAATTATTTATGCTGGATAAACTTTTGAGCAGCCAGCTTCAATAGTTGTCCTTTGACTTTTAAGATAAAAACATAAATAAACCCATCCGGCACACGTTAGCTCCATCCGGCCAACCTGAATTCATGGACTCTGGCCCGGACGCCCCCAGTCAAGTACTGCGATTTTCATCAATGAAATAAACCGTTGACCAGCATATCAGCTCATTCTAGCCCTACTTCCTAAATTATTGCTATCATACGCCTCTTTTGCAAAGAATCTCCTTACTTTACTGGTTTCCATTTTAACTACTCCCCCAAGCTGACAAAGTCCAGAGCAATAAAGAGAAGAGAGAACTCAAGGAGAAGAAAAATAAAATTTTTCTTTTCTCTGTAATCTCTCTCTCTCTACTACAACCTTTCTTCTCTGGTTGAAGTAAAAAGGAAGAGAGAGATGGGTTGTGAGAATTTCTTCTACACCCTCATCATAACCTTCTCAGTAGCTCTGATTACATACAACGTTATCATCTCTGCAAATGCTCCTCTCAAGCAGGACTTCCCGGGCCCTGGAGGCGCATTCTCGTCAGGGTCTCCTCGTCTCTTCTCAGTGGATCCCATCATCAAGATGCCCGCGGATCGATCACAGACCCATTCGAAGAAGAGGCTGTTTCACACGGCGGTCACGGCCTCGGATTCGGTGTACAACACATGGCAGTGTAGGATTATGTACTACTGGTTCAAGAAGTTCAAGAACGGACCCAATTCTGAAATGGGTGGGTTTACCAGGATTTTGCATTCTGGGAAGCCTGATAAGTTCATGGATGAGATTCCCACTTTTATTGCTCAGCCCCTTCCAGCTGGAATGGATCAGGTAACCATCGGGTTCATATGAATTCCTTGAAGCTTTGTGTTAATTACTGAATTTTGAGTATTATGGTGTAGCTTTTAAAGATTTACTTGTTTTTCTTTTTTCTGCTGGTACTAATGGCTTCATGGAATAAAGTAGGAATTATTGAGAATTTCAGGTTCTGGGTTTTATTTCTATTGGGAATTATGGGTATTTCTAAACTTCTGATATCCCCTTTTCATTCCCTTCTTGTGCAATTTGGCGGTGTTGGACTTCTCTCTTTTCTGAAGGATGTTTGAAGTTTCTGTAATCGCTTTTCCTGTTCATGTCTTCTTCCTGTGTTTAGAATTACAAATTTCTTATTTGGAAGCAATTAGTAAATTGCTATGTGTTGCAGTTAGTTATATCATAGTTGTCTCCCCCCATCACTTACTATGTTCTTGTATTATTGTGAATCAGGACATTGATGCCTGTATTGTTTTAGTCTATACATGGAATACAAAATGTGAGTCTTAAGGACTTGTAAAACATTTCCTGCAGACCACAGGGAATCGATCCCAGGAACAATAAAAAATTTAAAAGTTAAATAAGAATTCAATATGGCTTTTCAAACACAAAACAAGTTAAAGATTTAGAAAACCTCTGCCTATGCCAACTATTTATCATCAGCAAGAGGTAAACTTCCATTGTACCTCCATATAGTTGGGATAAGGCTTGGATGATGAAGAGGTACACTTTCTCCGTATGTATTAGAAACATAGTTCCATTATGAGATCATAACCCTTTCATTGAACTCTCTAGTACTTTCAAAATGAGTTCAACCATATAGTAGCCAGATAACTTGGAGAGAAGATTTAACTTTCAGTTGATGTGCATAAAGAACAAATCAGCAATTCCTATCTTATTAACCCCACTGGCAGAACCTATTATTCAGGGTAGCCTTTTGTTTTTTTGTTGATCACTTTTATTGGTGTTAGTTTTACTATTTATGTAATATTGGTATGCTTTTTAGTGTATACTAAGAATATAAAAGACTCTTCATGAGTCATGTATTTCATCATATTATTGGCACTTTCAGGGATACATTGTTCTAAATAGACCTTGGGCATTCGTACAGTGGCTTCAGCAAGCAAACATAAAAGAAGAGTATGAAACATTGATCCCTCTTTTTCTTAGTGGAACTGTGGAAGACATGTACCTAACCATTTTGTATTTCTTGTTAAATGGTGAGTTGTAAAAATTATGGATATCTTTTCTTGTGTTAATGCAGTTATATACTGATGGCAGAACCAGACCATATTATTGTCAAACCCATACCTAACCTATCAAGGGATGGTCTTGGAGCTGCATTTCCTTTCTTCTATATTGAGCCCAAAAAGTATGAGACAGTTCTTCGCAAGTTTTTCCCTGTAAACAAGGGGCCAATCACCAACATCGACCCAATAGGGAATTCTCCAGTCATTGTTGGTAAGGTATGTAATTCTTCTACATGTCTCATTTTCAAGACTTTTTTTTGGTAAAGTTCCCATCTACAAAACAAGTTATGTTGCTTTAACTTTAATTGATCTTTGTATCCCATGCTGTTAGGCATCTCTTATGAAGATTGCTCCAACCTGGATGAATGTTTCCTTGGCAATGAAGAAGGACCCTGAAGCAGATAAAGCATTTGGTTGGGTGCTTGAGATGTAATGAACTCACAGAAATCATACCTAATTTTGTGTTCTTTACCTTCTTGACTTGATTTATCTCCACATTTTCATATTATCAATATTCAGGTATGCTTATGCTGTTGCATCAGCTTTGCATGGTGTGGGTAACATCTTGTACAAGGACTTCATGATTCAGGTATTATGAGCTTTTTTTCTGCTGATTTTTCTATTTCTCCTTCATTTTTCTCACTCTGGTATAATTGCTGATTGATGATGACAATGATTTTTAATGGGAGTTGTTCATGCCAGCATATGAGAAGTTAATATATTCTTACTTCTTTAAACATATTTGATGTCATATTCCATCCTTGGACTTGCTCTGTATGGGCTAATGGAGTGCTCAAGACCAAATCCTCTGGACCCCTTTAAATGTCCCATATTTTATCGGTTAAACTGCCCATATTTGAATGGTGAATCTGATTTTTCACATGGATCAAAATTTAATCTGGATTAGATATTGGATCAGCCACATACAGAAATCCCTTTAGGAGCTGTTCTAGATATATTCCACAACTTGAAGTAGGCCATCTATGGATCTTCTGCGTAGGATCCAAGTTGGATCTAGGTCCAGACCTGGTAACTACATGTCATATCTAGATCTGAATCTGCTCCAGATAAAAACCCTTTTATGCTTTAGATTGAAGTTCTAGGGAACAATTTATGTCTAAAGGCAGCCACAATAGGGGTGGGAAAGAGTGGGGATGGTGGGGCTATATCAATGAGAAAAGAAAGTTTAGATACTTGAAGCCCAGTTAGTTTTACATAAAAAAGTAAGTTTAGATATTTGAAGCCTAGTTAGTTTTACGTAGGAAAGGAAGTTTAGATACTTGAAGCCTAGTTAGTTTATATACTTGTGGCTGCCCTTAGACATCAATTCTAAAGGCAGCTATCAAGGCACTATCAAGATTTGAAGCCTAGTTAGTTTTACATAGAACATACTTGTACAATCTTTCTGTCTGCTTTCTGGTATCCAGCTTTATAACTGACCAGTATTTCTCTCTTTTCTTTTTATCATTTTTGGGTGGTATAAAAGCCTCCCTGGGACACAGAAATAGGCAAGAAGTTCATAATCCATTATACTTATGGATGTGACTATGATTTGAAGGTACCTTACTACCACCAAATTCTTATACTTTCTAGTCACAAAGTTCCCATGATATATATTTAGATCTAGAGAAAAAACCATTAGCATGATGACACCACATGCTTCTGTTTTGTTTTTTGCAGGGTAAACTCATGTATGGAAAGTTTGGAGAATGGAGGTTTGACAAAAGATCATATGACCACACCTGGCCTCCAAGAAACCTTCCTTTGCCTCCTGCTGGTGTCCCAGAGAGTGTGGTATGTTTGCCTTCATTTATTTATTTATTTACTTACCTTAGTTTTAGTTTTTCTGTATATCTGGAGTAGGCCAAGAAAATAATATAGATAGTAAAAGTTTCCTTATTGCATATGACATCCCTGCCCCCTGCTTTGTGAAGCTGCAAACACTTTGTGTCATTTATAGACAGCTCAATTGTCTAAATTTGGTCCAGGACTTCCAGGATCAATAAAACAAATTTAGCTCTGAGTTACCATATATGTGATGGTGGAACCCAAAATATGACAGGACAGAACCCACCAAAGAGTTTCATTACCCTTTCTAGTTGATCAGTCATTTAACACTACTATTTTGAACAGTCAAGGAATAGAAAGATTCAGGGAAGTGATAATTATGATTGATAGGATCACTATTTGCATAGGCAGCTAGTTTGGACCCTGTCAATGCTGTCTGATCCCTTGCAGTTTGCAAATTGCTATATTTCCAGTCAATCCCCCTTTGCTTATACCTAACAGTCACTTTAGTTTACTGTATAAATTATCGGCACCAATCTTAAGCAGCACTAATTCTGTGACAGGTAACTTTGGTGAAAATGATTAATGAAGCAACGGAAAACATTCCTAACTGGGGAGCATAGGTAAGAAGAAAAGTTTGTGAACCTACTGGATATAGAGTTGCCCTGGTTGATGGCAAAAGTGTATGCAAACCACATTCATGCTGATATGAAGCATACCTTTGTAAAGTATATAAATGTCTTTTGGCATTTGAACTGCCACCCACATCCAGGTGATGAGCAGGAAGTCAGAAAATTTTGAACATCTGATACCATAAGCAAATCTATGTCTAATCTTGATGTTTTTCTTTGTATGTTTTCCTTTTGAACATCTGATACCATAAATGTCTTTTGGCGTTTGTTCTGCAACCTTTTGATTTTTGTGAACCTTGATTTTACTTGACTAAAAGAATAGTGTCCCCATCATGCTGCAATAGCTAAAAACAAAGTAAGCTATAGGTCCCTCTAGGAATCTCCTTAGCAGGAAGAGAAGAAAAATGACGAGTTGATGTCGACCATTCATAATCACTCGAACGAGTATTCGTTAATTTCACTACCATGCTTATGGTTCTAGCTTGAAAGCCCACCACTTTGTACATCAACAATCAAAAAGGGTAATGGCTTGGTAATTTAAATGAAAACATATGCTCATGAATGCCAAAAAAAATTGACAACCCAGAGACTGATCGATAATGATGTTTGTTCCAAAGTCAGCAAAAGGGCTACAAAATTGAATCAACTACACGAAGAGAGTTTTTTCAACCCGCAGCAATTCCACTAGTTCAAATAACGCCTACAATTTTTCGAATTGCAAAAGCATGGAATTTTCTTTCCTTCATCCTCATGGTTGAAATGGTAATCATATGTTATCTCTTCTCCTGGGTTTATATCCCGTTCTGCAAAGAAAACCACCTGCAAAATCACACAGAGAGAGAACTAAGCTTCCACTTTTACTATAATTTAAAATCTTGTCCAGCACACAGTAAAGAATATCTAGATTCATCATTTAGACGCTAGATCACAAGCCCCCTGTACCCTGAGACAGTACATCAGATGAGCTCAAGAATAAAACATAACAGCGATTTTAACCTATGTCTCTTCTGTGGGACCAATTAAATCAAGTGGGAATCCACAAAATGTGTAAATGCTCTAATGCGATGCTTGCAGTTATTTGACCAACCTTCAATAAAAAGATCTTCACTGCAATTATGATGGACTTCTGTCGGGTAAGGAACCTATTTAAGATGACGCAATTTCAATGGTTCGTTCTTTACAAAACTTGAAATCATTCAATTGTTTAATTAGAGACAGGACTGGACATGCACTCACAAAGGTTTTCCAACATTTGGAACCCTGTGACAGAAAAAACCTCAATTTGCAAACCACCTTCATTGTCTTCACCAGATCCCCCAAGGCAAATTCCAACAATTTAGCTCTCAAGGCAAGAAACAGAGGCAACATAAGAAAATGATGGTTTTAAAAAATACTAGAGGCAGGGCATCACGTCATCTCTCATCTGGAAATCTCACACTTGGACCAGACAGGTTAGGTGGGGTATCACACCGAGTAAAGCCAAGGTTGCAGGTTTTGATCTAAGCAAATTTGTCACTACTAAACAGCGCTTGTAGAAATAACAGGGAAATTAGGCGTTGGTTAAGGTCAATTTTGAACCAGTGGAGAAGCAACCTGGCCCATTTATGAAAGGAGTGGCATTGGCCAAATGCCAGAAAATGCTGGGGGCAGCTTACAAACTGGTACTGGTTTGGGTTGAGAAAATGTCCATTGAAAGCCAATCCACTTACTGGTAAGGTTAGCATATATAACCCTGAAAACAAGAAACAGTACTTTTGCCAGCCTACCATCTTCAACACAATCAAAATAAAATAATGTAATTCGCCAAAAATAACTTTGTCAATAAAAAAAAAAAAAAAAAAACATTGCATGAATTCAATAAGTTACCTTCTTTTCATTGCGCACCGAAATTACCTTGGCAACGCAATTTGGCTGGTCATAACAAATAGGCAAGGAAACGGTTAGAATAAAGTGCATAACAGTCACATAAATAAGTATTGATAAAAAAAAAGTCAAATAAAAAAGTGAAACTCTGGAACATCCAACCAATTTAAGATCTGTTCAAGCATTCAAAACATGCATTTGTGTAGTAGTAAATATGTTACATGGATAGAGGAGTAAAAAAAATTAACTGGATGGGGGTATCAGTTGTCAGAATTGGCAACCAAAAGAAAAAAAAAAAAAAAGATTCAATGAAATTACTAGTGCATTAATAAATAGTTACTTCTTAACATCACATCATTGTATTTAAACAATGCAATAATTCACAGAATGGAGAACAAAATAAATGTAATGATATAGATCAAATCCATTATATTAAATTAAATAAATACAATTGGATGGGATATTCTGCGGGCATTAGAATGAGAGAGAGAGAGAGATCTAGAAAGAAAAGAGAAAACGCATAGCTCAATAGGGAGAAGGGAGGGAAAAGTGGAAAATATCCCAGGAATGGGTAGCAGAGTGGGTGTTAAAGCAACTCCTTGATTGCACCATATAGTTTGTTGCTCCCAAGGGATAGAATTTCTTCTTTTTTTTTTCTAGATAGGCGTTGTCAAGGCTTTATAGTGAGAATCAGTTCCCTTTTCTTATTGGTTGTGGGTGCATTGTGTGTCACATTTTTTCTTGGTCATTTGTGTTTTAATGAGGATACTTTTTGTGGCTGTAGAATTTCCATGGATGGTTTCCTATCTTTCTACAAGCAATCAGAAGTATCATCAATTATGTGTGTTTTCCCAGGCCGGTTCCCTCTCATCTTATTTATGTTGTTTTTCTTCATTCTTTTCCCCATATTTTTTTTTGTCTATTTTCACATACCCTTTATGGTTGCCAATCAAAAATAATTATACTAAATTCATCAGGTGTTATAAATCTATTATCCATTCTCAAGATTTTACAGTCACATATCATGCATTTTCAAAGCAATGCCTAGGTAGGTACCTAGGCGATAGGGCGTTTTTTGAGATTGCCAAGTGGATAGTGCTTTGCCTTGGTGTTTCCATATGAGAGGTGTAATAATTGTAGGTGCAGTGCAACTAAACTGCATCATATTATATAAAATAAAGGGGTGCAGAAGACCATCATAATCCTCAAATTCAGCCTAGAGAGCCATAAGATGGTCTGGCCTCTTCTTTTGTTCTTTTATCAGTAACTCAAAGAATCTTATTAGAACTTAAAATGAGACGAGTACAACAAGTTGTTAGAAATAACACCCATTACAACAAAGAGTTCCACCACCTAATTAACATTGAGCCCAAAACAAATGATATCTTTTCAGTCCTTGTTAGGCTAATTCATCCGCCAAACCTTGTTAGGCTAATTCCACCATCTTAACTTTATTTGCATAAGTCTTGATCGCATCTTGAACCACCTGAATTCATTTCTGAAGTGCCATAATACCCCTTCTTTTTTCAGCCAGACAATGACTACTTTTGAGTCCCCTTCTACTATCAGCCTTGTGATTCCCATTTCCTTGGCTTTTTGCAGCCCAACAATAGACGCCATGGATTCAGATCTCACAGAATCACCCTACTCAATAGGCCCTGAAAACAAGCCACAAATGCTCCCATTCCCATCTCTAATCACTCCTCCAATTTTATAGGGACCTGGATTGCCAAAACTACTTCCATTGAAGTAATGTTTCACCCATCCCCCACTTGGGGGAGACCAAACCAATAGGACCTTTTGATTCCTAGATGAAGAAAGGACAACCAAACCCCAGCTTCAAAAAAAGTCTTCCACTGAGAAATCTGAGAATAGCTTCAAAGTCTTCACCCAATGAGCAACTCTAACTGTAACAGTTTTCAAGAATGCTTCCTTGTTTCTTTCTTTATCCTCAAAGATAGTTCCTTTCCTCCCAAACGGTCCACACAATTGCTGAACTTCTTTTGTTCTTTTTTTAAATCCTCTGTGGCCACTCTTCTTTCTTTCTCATATTTTCTGTTCAACATCTCGGTTGCATTCAAAAATAACAAGGGGGGTAGCCCATCCCAAATGGTCCACATATTTTCTGTTCAACATCCCAAACGGTCCACACAATTCCTGTCCTTTCATGTGTTTGTTTTCTTCTATCCTTTTTGATATCTTATGAAGAGATACACAATGGGGGGTAGCCCATCCCCCCAACCCACAACCCCCACCAACCCAGGTGCAGGTGAGATTCCATCCCAAGTCTCCACTACGACCAGCAGGAGACCTTACCAACCAGTTGGTTGGCACTTTGCCGCCTTCTTCTATCCTTTGATTTAGGACACAAGCACATTCTTTTTGTATTTCCACCTGCATTAATAAAATAGAGATCTATCCCCTAGTTTTTTATAGGCTATGTAATGTTTTTTCAATTCTATTTGTAACGTTTGATTCTTTCATGTTAGATCAATTTCAATGAATTTTACCTTGTAACATACAAGATAATTTATTAAAATAAGGGAACCAAGCTAAAATGAAACAGATTTTTAGTATCAAAAACCATTGCCTAGGCGGGCCTTGACTTAGCACCTTTACAACTAATACATCACGGCAGTTTCCTATGATCACTTTTCATTTTTTCTATTCTGAAATTTATTTGTCACTAACATGTACACGGGTGTTCATGTAACCATTTTATTTTATATAACAATAAAGTACCTTACCTCTTCAAAAAACAAAAAACAAAGTACAATGCAAGGATCCATATTTGCACATGCCTGTCTGCAATTTATTCAGGGTTTCGAAGAACCCATGTAAAAAGTATTCTAAACACTTTGAGGGGGTTCTTTTTTTTACTTCAAAATTAAGCTTCAATAAACATGTGTCAAGAGGATTGTTCAAGAGATCCTTTGGTGCTCAAACAAGTCAATAATCTGGTAAATTAATATATTCTTAGAGATTTACAAACAGAAACAAGTGCACCAGAGTAAAGAGGATTACAAGGCATGAGTGGTTGACAAATCGAGCAATCCCTCCTTTCCGGGTGGCATCAATAATATGCTCTTTATCAATCCTAAAGAAATAGCAAGCACTCTTGTACTGAAGTCTCCTCCCTGACTGATACTCAACTTCTCTTTTATCAGCCACACGAAGCCCAACAATCTCACCAACATACTCAACAACCTAAAAAGAACATAAATAAATTACATGTTCCAAATCCTAACAACAATAAGTTACAATTTCTTTAAAGACAGAGGGAAGTGTTCATGAAAAATATATACTGTGGTATTTATCAAAAATATATATATATATACTGTGGAGAGTAATTACCATTGCACCACGGGCAATGAACCTAGATGTGTAAAGACCAAGAGCATGTATCCCAGATTTGTATACTACCAAATGCTTCCATCCCTTTGCCTGTTTGTAGCGAGCATATTCTTTCTGCTTAATAAAGTAAAATATGAAAATAATATTGTTACAAACTTACAATGACAACACCAACTGGCTACCAAATAGCAACGATAAAATTTTGAAATGCAGTCTAACTTGGTAACCAAAATCAGAAAGTTCAAAAATAATAGAATAGCAGTGCTCATGAGTATCTTTTACCCAGATTACTGGTTATATTTTGACTGTCACTCAATAAACAGAATTTCATGCAATAAAAGAGAACTCTTATATGGTAACAACTGGGTTTATGGATATAAGATTGCCATGCTTTCTTTCTTTAGGCTGATAGATTTTATCACCACACTAAATGGAAATTTTGGTAAAAGCTAAAATGGGTATGCTCCTAGACGGTGTAAACAGGAGGAAGAAACAGTACTTCACTTGTTCTTCTCATCTCATGCAGTGTAGCAAACTTCAATTGGATGTTCTTCTCCTTTTTGTTTGGAGAGAGTGTCTTCCAACCAATGTTTCCTGCAGAAATCTTCTCCAAATGGCCAAAACTCAGAGGAAGCAAGAAAGCTAGAATTATTTGGAGCTGTGTTCCATTTGCAGTATGCTGGTCTATATGGAAAGAGTAACAGAAGGGTTTTTGAGAATAAGTCAAAAAGTATTGAACATTTGGTAGCAGCAGTGAGCAACCTGATTTCAGACTGGGTTCTTAGATTTCAAGACTTTGATCAAGTATCCAAAGCCAATTTGTTGGAGAGATTTTGGAGCACCCTTGATTTACAGCCCTGTAATAATGATTCATTTTAAGTTTGATTTCTAGTGTGTATCTGTTTGTCAACTTGACAACCATTGGTTTTGAGATGTACTCCCTTTTTTCAGTTTAATGAAATTTGTTTTCATCCTTCAGAAAAAAAATTGCTCCTAGACAGTTTATCAATCCAGCCACTCTATCAAGGATACTGAATCAGCTTGGAAATATGTAGTCATTATCATCTTTCTATTTCATTTTTAACAAATACAATTGATCTGATTATCATGAAAACAAATGTTGGGCATGCACCATGATATTTAGAGTAAAAGGAGATGTGTAGATAATGACAACTGAGAATCTAGTACAAGGGACTCTCCTAGAGATCCTCTATATATTTTTGCTTGCTAAAAAGACTACAGAGGCATTGCCGTTAGAAGTCAAGGTATCCTAGCAGGCTTAAGAAGGCATGTTGCATTATGTACCAATGGCTTGGCATTGTTTCTTTTTTTTTTTCCCTTTACACAATTAGGTCCAAGGATCAAAAACGAAAAAATAAAAAATATAGCGCTCAACAATACAGACCAACACCTCATCCAGCGTATCAGTCTGTATCAATATTTAGAACCTTCATTAGGTCAACAAAATATTCAAAGGCTTCAACAGGTTGTTAAGCAATTTATGACCTTTTTTTTTTGATAAATAAGTTATTGCACCTACTATCATCACAACTATTAATTGGTAGACTTCACATTTCACAATATTTTTACCCTGCCTAGTTATATAAGTTATTGCCCCAACCTTATAGCTCATAACCAAGGAGCTTTCGTGAGGGGAAGGTAGATAGCAGATCAAATCCTAATAGCAAATGAGAATGTGGAGGATTTGAAGACATCAAGGAAAAAGAGAGTGGTGTGCAAATTGGATCTAGAAAAAGCTTATGATATGGTAGATTTGTCCTCCTTGTTTTGGAGATAGATGATGCAATTGAGTGTTGGGGTGTGTTAGGACTTGCCATTACTCTATCTTGGTAAATGGGACAATGGTGGATTTCTTCCTGGCATTAAGGGAAATAAGACAAGGTGACCCCCATCTCCTTTCTTGTTTACCCTAGTTGCAAAAGTTCAGGGGAATTTGATCTCTAGAGCATATTCTAGAAGCTTAGTAAGGGGTTAGAGAATAGGTAGGGAGGAGAACATTCCACTCACTCACTTGCAGTTTGCAGAAGATACGATCCTTTCCTATGAAAGAGAGGATTTGAACTGGATCAAGAATTTGAAACTTGCAATACAACTTTTTGAACTAATGCCAAACCTAAAAGAGATTTTTGAGAAAAGTTGTATTGTGGGAGCCAATATGGAGGAAGGGGAAATATTAGAAGTTGTAGATATTTTGGAATGTTCAGTATCTAATTGGCTGCTAAACTACTTAGGTCTGCCACTAGGAGACAATCCACAGAGAGGTAGTTTTTGGATTCCAATTGTGGAGAGATTTGAAAAGAAACTTGCTTCATGGAAGAAAACCTACTTATCTCTTGGAGGAAGAATAACCCAAATTAGGTCTACTTTAGCTAACTTGCATATTTATTACTTGTCGGTTTTCAAGATCCTAACAGAGGTGGCTTGCAAATTGGAAAAACTAATGAGAGACTTTCTTTGGGATCCAAGGGATGAGAATAGGGATCATAGGGTGGGTGGGAGGTGGGTGTAGAAGTAAGAAGTAATGTTTTAAAACGCAAAGGCATGACGCAAGGCATTCCACTACCTAGAGGTGTGAGGCGTAGTTCAAAACGTAAGATGTGTAAGCCTCCTTAAGAGGAGGGGGGGTGAGGAGGAAGAAGAGGAAGAAAAATCTCAATTTTCTTTATTTTTAATAAAAATCTTTTGTATTAAGAAAAATGAAGATGCATAGGAACAGTTCTTATGAATTGACAGTTATTGATCAACAAAAAAGCAAACCAACCACTATGTTTTATGTAATAGGAACGGTTCTTATGAATGAATGGATTTTCTTCTAATCCTTGCTTTATCATATAATGTGTTGGCATAAAGAGATAGGGCCCAACATCTGATAGCTCTATCCAAGACATCAATCACTACACCAGTTATAAATATGACCATCTGGTAATAATAGAAGGTTCATGTAGCCAAACATAGCCATTTGGGCATTGAAAAAATATTCTATGAAACACAAAAGTGAAATGCATCTCAGATGGATAAAAATCATCAGCCTATGTTCATTTTGGCCTAGGGAATCCCATAGGGTGGGACCCATTCATGTGGCTCCAAAACCTCTATACATGATATACATGCAGATATCCCTCTTGCAGGTCATAGCGGCCTAGACTCAAGACAACATTTTAGTTTACTTAACCATCTAGCCAGTTGAGGACCAGACAACTGCATGACTACTTAGGCAATGTTTGGCATCAATGTCGTTTTCTGAGAAAATAGCGCCACATAGGCACCACATCAGAGAAAACGGTGCTTCAAACAACACCCTTTTGTTGTTTGGTACCGTTTTTCCAAAAAAAAATGTTGCTCCAGACCATGCCTTGGAAATCGGGAAGGTGTAGTATGGAGCAAACCAAATTCAATGTTTTTTGGGAAAACGGTGCATTGCTGCCAATGATGCAATGACATGGCATCAATGTGGCATCATCTTGGACGTTGGATAATATAGATCAATGTTGAAAACGTTGCTGGCAGCACTGGTACCAAACAAAGCCAGTGCTGTTTTCTCAAAAAATGCCTATGCGGCAGCACTGGTTCCAAAAGAAAACAGTGCTTACAACTCCACATGCCCAGCACCGTTTTTCTCAGAAAACGGTGCGATGTTCCCAGCACCGATGCCAAACACCTACTTAGTTAGCTGATACTCATGATGAAGTCACTAGGAATAACTAAGCATCAACCAGGTAGACTAGCCAACTAACAACTAGTAGACCCAGTCAACCACAAAGTTATTTTGAAGCTTTACTTCTTTGCTTCTTATGTCTGATTTTTTAATAATAATATCATCAGTTCTTTTATTTTGTTATATGTACATTACTTGCTTTAAGCATTCGTGATGGCACATGATTGGGTAACGGAAAACAAAATAGAAATAAAATAAGACAGTGGAGGATTTCTTTAAAAGATTTTTTTTCTCAATCAATGGTGTACAGATGTGGAGCTGCACAAAAAAGGGTACACCAAATAGCCAAAGATGCACTCTTTATTTGAAAAACAGAGGTAGTAATTCCCTATCCTAGCATATCCAAGCTTCCTTTTTATATTACAGACAAAGACTGAAGCCAAATGTCCTGTGTCACTCCTTTGTTGCATATTTGTTATCTAAATTGACATATATGACCATAATATTCACTATGGACTCAATTCAAATGATCATCATATCAGTGTTCAAACATAAATACCAACTGCTAACTTTGAATATCTATGCAAGAAACTTTTCACAAATAACTCAATTAAAAATAATAACTACTGAGCAATTTCACAATACCCGACAATCATATTCAACATCAGAAGGCAGTGGCTTTAGAAATCCTCGTGTACATGACTTCTGCCCATTGATGTGAAGCCATGCATTTATCTGTTCTTGGGGAACAAGGCATCCACCATTTTTATTGGATTGCCCAGGAAGATTATGTCTGAAGCCATCCCTTTTGCGACCCTTGTAACCCTAGTTGAAAAGTTACATAATCAGATAACAGAAGAAGAGAATATCTAATTAGCTAGTATGCGGAGGTACTAAGAAAGACCACATCAACATCAAGGAAAAAAAGTACCTCTGTGCGTGCACAGGTTGCTTCATTCTTTTCTGCACTATCAGTTTTAGTGTCAGCAAGATGAATGTCAGAATCACAGAGATGCTGTGCTGCATGAATCATACATCTGCCATAAAAGCCAACTTTTTCATTATCAGCACCTTCAACCTCGCTTTGCAATAAACCCTGCAACAAAACCAACTAATGTTATGCATGTAGCATGCAGAATAGTCCCCATCATTCTATTTGCAACACCATAGAAAACGATCTTTTTCCTTTCTTGATAGCATCTATGGTAACAAGAAATTATAAAACTGATAACAAAATTAGTGATCAAAGAAATTCAATGTCGAACAATTATGTTCACTAGCCACACAAGTCTTATCCAATCACCATATGCAAGGGTTCGTGTCTCCAATTCTCAGCTCAACCAAATTATGCTTTATCCCAACAACCTGGGCTCTGTGATACTGTCAATCCCGCTCCATTAATCAGCAACCTCCAATTCTTTTCTTTTCCTTTTTTTTTGGATAAATGAATGCAATTTTATTAATCAAAGAAAGAGTGTACAGTCAGCCTAGGAGGAGGCACGAAGTGTTACTTCCCCCTAGGACTGAACCATATGCAAATAAACACACACAAGCCTGAATTACAATTACAAGGTAGCCCAAAACAGGTCTCCCCTTGATACCCTTTGTTTAGCCAAAGAATCAGCCATTGCATTTGCCAATCTACTAACCCACTGAACCCTAACTCTCATATTTCTTGTCAGCCAGTTAACCTTCTTTAACAGATCCCTGTAATCCCAAAAAACTGTTTCTGGATTTGTCCGCCAGCCCACTACTACCTTGGAGTCCCCCTCAACTATCAAGTTTTCCACTCAAAGTTGACTGGCCAGTTGTGTGCCTTGTACTGCTGCTAGTAACTCAGTCCTTGTAGAATCACCAACACCCACTGGTCCAGAAAAAGGTTTAAACATATTCCACATACTCCAGCACACATTATCTAAGACAATTTTCCTCATCTTGTCACTTATCAGCTCCAGCATCTCATTGGTTCATGATGGTGAACCTCTACCTTCTCCTCCATACTATTGCTAAGGGTCTCAACACTAGCACCAAGAGGTTTGTTGGTATTATTTATTTGATAAACAGAGTTATGAGAGGCAAAAAAATTTGCATGATTACTGAGCAAAAGGGGAAAACCATGTAACCTAACACATGTTTATGCTGGCTTATCATTATAAGAAGAATCAAAGGTAATATGTTCACAATAGCATTTAAAATGATCATATTTCAACCCACCAAAGTCCAGGAGCACCACATCAGTCACTTATCTTCCCAATTACTGACTCCAAAGGAAAAGTTTCTTTCTGAGTATGCAGTTACCCAAATAAAGGAAATAGGCATTACTATTTTGTGAAATGACAAAAGAAACATAAATACATACACCTTTGTAGACGAGCCATCACACAAAGCCAAGAAACTAAGATTAAGAACAAAATGATAAACAACGAAGTTGTCCTATAGACTTCAACCATTTAATATGTTAACATTTTATTAGTAGGAAATAATATTACATGTATGCATCTCTTTTGGTTCTAATAAATAATTAGAATAGAATAATATAAACCGTTTAATATTGTATTATTATAATACGTTTTCATTTATGCATTTTATTTTTCTTCTAATAATTAATTAGTTTAATCATTTTTTGTGAATATTTTATCTCTAATATAAACTTTCTGATTATTTATCCATTTTTATTGGCTTTTATAATGAGAATCTACAATATTACCATACAAACCATTTAGTGTTTTTATTATTATAAAAATACTTTATTTATGCATTTTATTTTATTCTAATAGGTAATTAATTTAATCATTTGTTTTTATTTTTGTTTTCTAATGAATATTTTATATTTTATTTCAGATATAACTTTCTTATTATTTATTCATTTTTACTGGCTTTTATAATTAGGGTCTACAATATTACCATAGACCTTCATGTAATGTAATAAGAGTGAAACAAAGATTCTATTTATAAGCTTTCAATTATGAGGTCTATAATATTACAATAGACCCTCTTGCATTGTAACATGTTTATAAAGGTGTTTTAAAGATTACATTTCAGAGCTCAGTATGGTGATGGAAAGACTTCCATAGACTATCATGGACTGCAGCAAGTCTTTAAAGTTTAAACAAACTTAAGAGCTAAGGCTTAAGGATTCAATATTCATTCGAAGCATTGAACCCTCTAGCCTCCCACAATCTCAAAGAGACACAGAGTGCGCCTGTCCAAGAAGTGATCAGCAAGCCAGCACTCAATGAAGTCCTTCAAGAAAAAATTAGAAGAAGACAAAGACGAAGTGCATTCCCCTTGTATTTTCATGGTTATTCACCGTGAGAGGGAAATAGGGTCAGTATTGCATACCTGAGTCGAGATTAGATTAAAATTCTAGCAATTTATTCAAAGTTTCAGAAGTCCAACATCCTGCTTCCAAGAAAAAGGTATTTCAGCGCATGACCAAGGGTAGAGACCACTCTTGTGCTTGGTTAGATCCTGAAGTTGTAGTGCCTCCAGCTCCAGGTACACAAGCTAAAAACCTCTTCTTTTTCTCCTTTAACATCTCTCTTGTTCTCTTTTTGTTTGACATTAAATGTCTGTACTTTGAATATATGCCAAGTTGTTGACATATGTTTGGAAATATTTTGAAATATTATTTTTTTATCAATAACGAGTTAACTTTATTAGAAGAGACAAGTACAATGCAGAGGGGGGACAAACTTTCTTATCCCACCCTCAGGGAACTAACCAAAGCCAGAAAAACGAAAATAAAAGAATACAATTGAGTCCAGAAAAAACAGGCTCTATTCACCCCTTGCTTTGCTAGCCCATCAGCGAAGAAGTTTGGCACTTCTTCTGACCCAAGATGCCTTGACTTCAATGTCTTCTGTTAGTCATTTGAACTGCTTCCTTTCGTTGCTGTAATTCCAGAAGCCATTGCTATTCATATTTATCCAGTCCACCACCAGCTTTGAGTCTCCCTCAATAATCAATTTTCTAATGTTCAGTTCCTTTGCCCTCTTAGCCCCTTCCACAGCCGCCAAAATCTCGGTTCTCAATGAATTGCCCACCCCAATTGGACCTGAGAACAGAGCGATTATATTTCCTTCCCCATCCCTAAAAACTCCACCAATTCCTGACTGCCCTGGGTTTCCAACACTACTCCCATCAAAATTCAATTTTATAAACACATTAGTTGGGGGGCACCAATCCTGAATTAAGGCCTCTTTAGTCGGAGCTGAGGAAGCAATTTCCTTCCAGTTACTTAGGAAAACTTCCATTGGAACATATTTAAAGAGATCTTTTTTTTTTTTTGAAACAATATGATTGACATTTACTGAAATGGCGAAATATTGACCAATATATTATATTTTCTAATTCAAGTGAAAGTTTGTGTCGATGGGTCTCAACACCGATATATGTCAAGCAACATTTCCGAAATTTCACTACATTTTAAACCATAAATGAAAATGGGAGAAAGTTCCACAGAATGATACCATGGTGACTAAACCCTGATTGGCCTTGGCCACGAGTACATCGGCATCACTGGACACTTAGGGAGTACTCAATCTGGATGAGTAAAGTAGGAAGTCAGACCAAACATGGTAAGAGAACTGCTTGAGAAAAAACTTGATAAGGTAATTGATAAAGTCATAAACAGCAATAAAAAGGGGACATATTCCTCCAAGACTCTCCACAGCACATAATTACTCCTTTGCTCCATATATCAGGTAGCTTATCACCAAGATATTATTGAAGATATGAAGGAAGAAGAAAAATTTTTGGATGGGCATGAGCCTTCTAAATCTATTTCCAAAGGAAAGTAAACTCAAAGCTTCTAACGAAGTCACAGAAAGATGACATCCACAAGATACTACAAGAATCTAATTTCCATATCTTTGTGTCCTCACCAAACATATGACCTACCTTTTGTAGGGGTACTGTAAAGCCAAGCTAAATAAAAAATGAACCAGTAAGTCAGCCTCCCAAATTTATGGCTGAAGACAACAAAGGTTCCATACCACCTATACTTAGACCAGCTCACAAAACTCAATGTGCAACACTATTTGACCCATAAAGGATAGAGAAATCATCCCACAGTGGCATGTCCCTGCACAATCAGTGCAAAACAGAATGTATACCTATACCTGATTTATAGGCTATGAACTTGCTGAAATCATTACATATCTTCATGATGTCCTTCCACACACGTCAACACTAGGGACTCCAAATCCAAACTAGCTGCATACCAATCAAGAACCGCTATTCCACATTTATTGCAAATTACTTTACTTCCATATTATCAGCCAGTTATGTTCTCCATGATTTTCCTCTTTTTGCCTGTACCATGACAAATTACCAAAGTAATGCTTCATTTATCATTATAATTAAGTTCATAAGGCCCACTGCACCATAATTTTTTCCATGCACATTTAGGGTCCATGGCACCATGCTGCTATGTGATACTCTAATTCTTTCGACCATCATGTAAAATGCCCCACATTATGTTCTCTAGAATGTATACCACTGATGTCAGAATTGAGAAAAAGGACAGGCAGTAAAAAAGAAAGTCAGACAAGGTACTTTTGACAACTGTTAACTTACCACCTTTTGGCAAGTATACTATCTTCCAACATACCAATTTTTCACTCAGACTGCTCCACAACTGAACCTCATATCACCTAAGACCTGTACTTTTTACCAAGGAAGCCCAAGAACTTTGAAGAAAGAGAACTCAAGGATTGTTTCCAAGTCACCTAAGTTCAGCAGCTCACTTTTGTCTAGATTAATCTTCGAACACAATGTAGCTCCAAAGCAAATCAGAATACACCTCTACACAATGAAGAAAAGAGATATTTTGCCTTTCCATGCTAAACTTGATCCCTTCAATTATCCTCCCCATCAGGACCCCAACTTGGGAAAATAAAATGGTTTGGATATGCATCAACTTTCAGCAATAATGGTCAATGGTTAATTTCATTGAGCTTGGTGCATCGAAGTGCAACCAGGGAGAGTAAACTATAATTTGATGGCGATATGGCATTCAACCTTAGCAATCCTGGTCTTACTGGCACTAGTGGTATTTTTATCAATCAGGGCAAAAGCACCATATGGGCTTTC